ACTCGAAAGCATAGGGGTAAAAGTGCATCGGGGTTTTCGGTAAAAGCTCGACAAGCTCCCGACTAATTGTGGATTCAGTTAACTTGGACTTTGGGGAGGTATCGAGAGAAAAGAAAGGCAAAGATTGACTCAACCCAAATTGTCTCGAGAAAAGTCTGGGGTAATAGGTGACAAGCTTAAAATCCTTCGATTGAAAACCCGATACCAAAACATCATGGGTCAAATAGTTACTCCATACACCTATCGGTTCGATTGCAACCCAGGAGTCGAGGTAGGAAATTTCGATTTAAACCAAATCGGCCCCCTAAGTTGGCCACTTGTTCGTCCAAGATTTACAGTAAATGGGGCCAAGGTTGAGTCGAAAGTGAATCTGGTTAACAAAAAATGAAGGTATTTACAGTAGGTAGTTTCATCAGACTTATGACGAGGGTGACGGGAGGATAATCGGGCTCCTTCTATATTTACACTCGGGGGGACAGAAGAGATTCGAGGAAGGACGCTCTCAAAAATTGAAGTAAGCCACAACTCGTACAAACCAAACAGGGCTCGAAAAATTCCCCGACGCTTTAGGTGTGTTCAAAATTTCGACAGACCTCGTCGAAAGTAGCATACACATGAGCTAGTAGTAGCTTAGCCAAACATATCGTAGGGCGACCTATGTGCGGGACATATGCAAGATCAAACAAATGGGGGAGATTTGGATGGATCGGGGCAAAATACATGGGTGCATAGTCAATACACCAAAAATGCTACATGCTCTTCATCGATGACTGACTATCGAAGGGTCATCAACAAAATGTTTCTCAATGAAATGTCCGTAAGCCTTCGATTCCCAATCAATTTTGGACCGCAAAGAGCTACTCGAAGGATATGCACCTTTAATATACTTCTCCCCTATGGGCTTCAACCCAGTAATAGCCGCAATCTCGAAAAGGGTAGGCGACAGAGGGCCACAAGGCAACTCCAAAGCATGTAGGTCCTTGTTCCATAAATGCACCGCAGACAAAAACATCGCCATGTCCAAAAATGATAGATCGCATCGAGACAGATGCAAAAAGTCGAAAATTCCTATATCCCTCCAATGGTTCCCAAACTTGGCTTGTACCCTATCGAACCACCTAATAAATTGAGGCTTTTTGGAAGGAGGGCCCGTTCTATACACTTTAGAGGTAAGATTCAGAAAATCAACCCTAACTTCAGGTTGATGAACCAAAGCCGGACTAGTTGAGAGGTTAAGAGGAGTAAAAATGTCATCGATAGGACGAAGAGGACCCCCAAAAGCAAAATTTACCCCTTCAACAGTATAAGGAATAAGTACCTGCGTCTCAGCAATCTTACGGGAAGCCTCCTCCATCAGAGGAACTGGAGCGAACCTCTGGTTGTTGATCTCCAGCAGGTTAGACGACAGTGAAGAAAGGGGTGGAGCGGAAAAGTCAGAAGATTTTGATGAGCTGGTCATTGTAGTGAATTTAGGAAAACAGAAAGGGAAGAGTTAACGGATGAGGTAATAGGAACGAAGGCAGGAGCTCAAGGAAGAAGATGAAATTGCACAGAAGGTAATGGTTCGCGTAAAAACCAGAGTGAAGACTAAGGGAGAGGTTAAGGGTAAATCGTATAGGGAACTGGAACGATGGAGGTGAAAGGTAATAAATGTAGCGTACTGTGAAGGCAGCAGACTGACGAGACAACGACATAAAGCAAAAAGAAACACACAACCCTTTTAAACCCTAGAACCCCAGAAACCCTAAACCCTAAATCCTGTGGGCTTTCAAAAACTAAGGCGGGAATATTGAAAGGATATAAAACTGAAATCATTCATATTCTTTCAGGGGGGCATTTTGTTAGTGTGAAATCGAGAAATATGATCGATAAACGAACAAAGCGTATGATAACTTTTTCGATGTCCAATTATAAAGAAATCGAAAGGTAGAATCAGAAGGGTAGGAGTAATAGTCGAAGGCTTAACATGGAACAACTTTGAAGTATATGAAGTTAAGGTTAAAATGAATCGATGCCAGGTATGCAAAGTTCTCGAATAAGTCAAAATCGAAGGGAAAGATCGTCTACGTAGACATCGAAACCCCGGCTAAACCTTGAAGGGAAATAATCAAAACGCACGTATGGAAAGCAGTTTCTAAGTTATGGAAGAGTCGAAGATCGTGAGAACGTGGGAAACCGTAAAAGAGGAACTGCCTTATGCACGTAGGACGTGGTATCAGTCTTGGTAACTGCTCCTGGAAGGCTTGAATGATGCCCTATAAATAGTGCAAAAGAGGAAGGAACGAGGGAGCAAAAATTGGCAGAGCACAGAATCAGTAGTGAAAAGTCTACCGGAGAAACGACGAACACCATGAAGCTTCTGGCGGTCTGGATTTCCCTGCTCACGGAGTACATTTATCGCGTTCTTTATTTTCCTTGGTAATTTACTTTCGAGCAACTTAAATTCAACAATTTTATGTTTCTGTATTTTCAATTCCTTGTCCATTTCAATTCAATGAAAGTTTAAGTTTCTGCATTTTCGATTTATTGTCATTTACATTTCCTGCACATTTCGAGTTCCTGCCATTTATATTTGCACTATTTTTCGATTCCTTGTTATTTACAATTAATGCAAGTTTAGGGTTTTCGCACTTTACGTTTCCTCGCAATTTAATATTCTGCTTTTTCGATTCGACACTTTATTGTTTTCGATACTTTAAAGATAAAACACCAAAAACAGTTTTCTTGATATCTTATGATTTTTCGATTCTCATACACAAACTCGATTGAAAATCAAATTGCTAGCCTAAGCAAAAAGAACTTACGTGATAGATTTTTGATTAGGACCGAAACACCCTTAGAATCGAAATCGATCAAAATTCCGCCAGAAACACTTATATAGAATTATGAATATATATACTTCAACATTTATCAAACTTAAACATTTATAATATTTAAGATGTATTTACAATTTTTTTAAATCTTGAATAGATACTTTAAATATTTGGAAGAAGAATTTATCATTTATAATTATAATTAGCTTAACTATCGTGTATAATATTATCTTATCTGGAGAATCCCTATTTGTGTTTAGTTTTTGGAAAAATTAATTCAAGCATTTGCATGGTTTTTATTTTATTTTTTTGTGTTGATTTATTATCATTAAAACATGGGATGATTTTTATTTTCATATTTGACTGGGACTAGTTTTCCAGAAAAACTAGTTTATGTTATTAATTATTTTTTAAAGTGAAAAAAAATAATTTTTAAATTATTATTATAAATTTTTATTTCTCATTTATTTAGGTAAATTTAACCAATGTGTCTAGGACATTGATTCAAAATTATAAGTGAAATTATTTTTTATTCAGTACATAAAAAAGTTTTTCAAAGACTAAATAGTATTTTTTATTATTATTTTTAATTGTGTCTTATTTTGTTTTCAATATTAAATTGATCATATATTTGTTTAATTAAATTATAATGTGATTATTTTTGTCAATTTTACTAAATTGTCTAGTTACCACATATATTAAAATGAAACTAACACAAGGAGGGTGACAGAGAGATGTAATCATCATTCAAAAAAGTATATATTTTTTTAACTTTATATAGAAATTAATTTATAATAATTTTAATTTAAAAAATATAAAATAACATTTAACTCACATCAATATTACAGTAGTTTTACATTAGTACCATGTTAATGATCATAAAAGGTTATAAAAGCACTTTTTTTTATTAGATAATTTGATGGAGTTAACGGAATGAATTATATTAACTTATTTTAAAAAATTAAATTAATACTAAAAATAATAATATAATAAAATAAAAATAATAGGATAAAATATAATTTTTTTTAAAAGATTAATAAAAAAATAAATAAAAATGACAAAAACCTATTTCCAGATTCAATATTTTTTTTTAATATTAATATTAAAGAAGTGTTATGTTATGTTTTTATTTTTATATGCTTTTAGTGATTCGGGCAAGACCATCATTAAAGGATAAAAGAAAAACAAAATTCTTATACAACACGTTATATATATATATATATATATATATATATATATATATATATATATATATATATATATATATATATATATATATATATATATATATATATATATATATATATATATATATATATAAAGACATGCTTTACTCATATTTATAATTTTTTGAAGATTTACCTATTTTTAATAAAATATAAGAAAAAAAATTACACCCCATTAATAAATAAAGCTCTTAAGTTATGAGTAGTATATATGATTAGATAAAGTTCAATTAATTTTTAGTCTATTAAGAGTTTAATGATTACAATTCAATTTCTTATTAATTTTTAATATTTACAATCAAATCCTATAATCAACTGATTAGATTGATTTTGTAACACTTTTATATCATGTGACTGTGAATTATTTAATTATTTCATATGGTATAATTGATATTTATTTTTATGAAAAATAAATAATTTTATTATAAATTTGAATTAAATTATTTAAAAGATGATTTAAATATATAAAAATTTTCTTTAATATGAAAATTTTGAATTTATTAATAATTAAATTTTGATGTCAAATTCCTTACAAATTTCATGGTTAGTCCGTTAGTAATTGATTCTAATTAATATTTTTACTTATTCATTTGAAAAATTAATTGGGCCAAACCTCACTCCATTACAAATTTGGGCCGAAACTAGTCCAAGGAGAAGAGTAACATTTTTAACAAAAAAATTAAATTATATATTATAAAGATGTTAAGTAATTATATAGTATTTAAAACCAATATATATATATATATATATATTAATATTATATAAACAAATTTTTTTTACTATATCTAGTTTCTTATTTATTAGTAAAGTGCTAAAATAATAAATATTTATTTTAAAATATGAAACATACTCTATCGATAAAAAAAATAAAGAATTTACAAAATAAAATAAAAGTAGGGAGTGGGATAAATTAAGAGTATTTTTTTTGTCGCATACATAAAAAAGGAAAAAATAATCCTAACTAAACGATGGGAATGCATCGAAACAAAAGATTCTTGAACGTTCCCCCACGCCTCAACGGCCGGACCAGTTCCCAGCAGCTCTCTCCGCCGTCGCCATCAACGTCGTCCTCCGCCGAAACCCTAGGTGGAAGCGGCGGCGGTCGACATTCTCTCCGATTCTGCCTCATCTTAATGTCACTCAGTTCCATTTGCAGCGGAAACTTCAGTACAGTTCCGAACATCCCGTTATTGCGCTTCCGGCAACTCTCACTCCTCCGCATCCCGGAAGGCGACCGGATCCTCGTCACGCTTACGTTGGTCCCACCGGAAGACTCGGATCGCGAGAGAACCCGATTTTCGCTCTCGTTTTGCGGTGCTGGACCGGGTTCGACTCGGCGCGAGATGAGTTTGCCGCAGAAAACGACGTCGGCGGGACCGGCACTGGAAAAATCAGTTGCCGGAAACTGAAATTCAGCGCGTTGCATAACGGACACAACAATTAAACAATCACGGTTCTAAGAAGAAAAGAGAGTTGAAAAGAGTTGAATTAAGAAAGTGTAACACTGAGAAAAATATTTATAGTTGAACAAAAAGAAAATGAAAAAGGTAGTGACGCGTAGCTTAATTGTTTTCAGGTCTTCTTTTCTAGAATTCTTATAAGTTAGAGATGAAAATTGTCCTATTTGACGCAGTCATGGGAGTGAAGGTTCTGTTTGTTTTGTAATATCTTTTTCTTCAGCACCAAGTTTTGGGAATTCTAGAACAGTGATAGTTAATTAATTGCAAAAAATAACTTTTTCTCACTTTGCACCGCTAGATTTCATAAAGTAAACAGTCAAACAAAAACGCAGTTAATGACTTCAAAACAAATACAGCAAATGTTCTAGTTCTTTGAAATCTTCAAACAACAATTTAATATTTCAGTAGCTTTTGAAAACACTAAAAAGTTGAAGGAGATTGTATGTTTTCACGTTAAGCAAACGCATAATCGCAGAATTATATGATGTAGCAGCTTCCGGGTTGAAATGAGGTTATCTCAAACATAGTTCTATTTTGAACATTGAAATATCTTTTATATTTATACATTAATTTATAGAAATTATAATTAATGTAAAAATTAATATTATTTTCCGTTATATTTTTTTCTGTAAGAATTTTTTTATGGAAAACTCATTTTTTTCCACAGTCTTTTTCTTTTTCCAAAAATTTTATTCACATTTCTATTACTTTTTTTAATGTTTCTTTGCATTTTTCAATACTATTAATCCCAATCTTTATTTTATCCCATACAACTTTATTTTTCACTTCTAACCTTAGCATCTATTTGATTATAATGAAAGGAATTGAGAGAATTAAAAAAAATAAAAATAAGTAAAAAAAAAAGTTGCCTATTTGAAGTGAAATAAAATAGATAAAAAAATAAATGAAAAGAAATTATAAAGATACATTGGTTTGATTAAAAATGAAGGAAATGAAATAAAAAGTATACTTTTTAGTCAAATATATTATCTTTAAATTATTCAATAACTTTTTCTTACGTTCTTCTTCCAAGAATCTACCTAAATGTTCTTACATTCTTCTTCGGATAATTCTCCTAATTTATTAATGTTTCAAATGCAGATATTACTTAATTCCAGGTGTTAGAAAACGATGAATCTAAAATCTAGACTGAAAATTAATAAAATTTTTGAAAATTAATTAAAATTGATTTTTTTATTGAATAATTTTTCAGTTTGATTCAATATTTGGTTTGATAATGACAAATTTGATTCTTCAAACATTTATATTTATTATCTTTAAAACTTTAAAAATTAATTTGCGATGTGTTAAGTAAATATTCACGAATGAGTGAAATGTATATTTTGGAGGACAAAAAAAACACTTATTTATAAGAGTAGATGAGTTTAGAAAATCAAATCTCCTATAATTAAAATCTATAGAGGAAAATAGAAAATGTTCCACCATGACTTACAAAGACACTAAGAAATATGAAAGAGAAACTGAACTGTTTTGTGAAAAATCTCACCTTTGTGGATTGAGAAATCCTTAGATCTTCATGTGTGCATGAACTTTTGATTATAACGACACCATATCTAGAGTGTCTTGCGTGATTTTTGTGTGATTGAAGACATGCACAAACTTTTTGCTATAATCCTAAAACACTTTATTCTTCGATTATAAAAGAGGGGAGAAGGACCAACTTTCACAACAATCCCTCACATATTATAAAAGATAAAAGATAGAAAGAACGAAAAAAGAAAATTATGGGTCTCATATAAGATGTAATGCATCACTATAACAAGATATATAAATCAATCCTAGATTGAAAAACTTAACACAAAGTGTATTTGATATAACAAACTATATGAACAAAAAATACTTAGTGTGTGTTAGCAATTTACCAATTATGCCATACTTCCACAATTCTTGTTATCAGTGTGTTGTGCTTATTAAGTCATGCACATGCCTGATATTCATAAGTGTTTTAGAGATCTTGCCACGATCTCATGCAAGCGGCCCCACTTGATACTCATAAAGGTGATTTCATAAAGCGTATGCTACAAATCATACAATACCCGTATGCGATATGAAAATCATTAAAAATTTTGTTAGACTAAAATTCTTACACAAGTAGAATTTTAACTACAAAATTTAACCTCTCAATAGTGTAATATCTAGCTCTTTCACACACACCATAGGAATGGATAAAATTGATTTAAAAACAACTTCAATTCTAACAAAACTAACAAGTGACTTGTTTTAACCGATATGAATCTTATTCACGGGATCTCCAATCACAAAGGTTGGGTTACCGCCAATTTGTTCGCAAGTGGCTTGAGTCCCTTTTCTTTGATGTTTCTAAAATCTTGTTTCTATTTAGAAGTTTTATCAAAGAATTTGCTAGATTGTGTTATGACTTCACATAGTTAATGGAAATTGTTCCACTCTTTAGCAGTTGTTTCACCAAATTATATCTCAATTGTATATATTTGTTTTTACTATTATAATTTCTTTTTAGTTATAACTATTGCCGATAGACAATCACAATGTGAGGTTGGTTCCATTCCTAGTGAAATGTTTGGTAAGAATTTTTACTACCACTTAGCTTCACTAATATCCATTTCAAGAGTAACAAATTCTGATTTCATTGTTAATCTTGTAATAATTGTTTGTCTGGTTGATCTCCATATAATTGCATTACCCCAAGTGTAAACACATGATCACTAGTAAATTTTGTCTCATCTTAATTAAAGATTCAATTAGTGTTAATACACCCTTTTAGTACAACAGAAAATCCACTATATTCAATAGAATAATCCCTTGAACCTCTTAATTATTTCAAAAATCTTGTAAGTGCATCCTGATGTTCCTGATTAGGACATTGAGTGTACCTACCCAGTCTACCTACTGCATAAGCAATGTTTAGTCTAGAAAAACTCATTAAATGTAGTAAGTTTCTAATCATCTGGGCATACTAAGTTTGAGAAATAGATTTTCCTCTATTTTTCTTTAATTTAAAGTTAGCATCATAAAAGGTACTCATTGGTTTGAAATTATAATACCCAAACTTTCTAAGAAGTTTCTCAATGTATTGTTCTTGGGATAATAACATATTATCTCCATTCCTTATGATTCTAACTCCTAAAATCACATTGGTTTCACTCATGTCTTTCATTTCAAACTTAGATTCAATAAACAACTTAGTTATAGAGACAATCTCATTGTATGTATCAAAGATTAGCGTGTCATCCACATATAAACATATAACAATACATTTATCAGCATCATTAAGTGAAAAAACATCACAAAGTAAGACATTATCAAGTTTTTCATTTCATTGTTTTTGTGCATTTTTCAATCCATACAAGGATTTCTAAAGTTTGTACACTTTATTCTCTTAACTAGGAACAACACACCCTTCAAATTAAGTCTTATAAATTTCTTCTTCTAATTCACCATTCCAAAAAGCGGTCTACGGATGAATCAAGTCTTCAATCTATTTTGCAGGAGTAGTAGAGTCAAATATATTAATTGTCAGAGCAGAAGCAACTCCATATATGTCTAACAAAGTATATACGTGTTTCTGCCAGGATCATAAGTTTTGTCTAGAGAAATTTTGATTTTCGAAATGTTCGAGAAAGGTTTTACAAAGACAAATTGAGTTATAAAAATGTTGTTTGGCTTCATCGATGTAGAGGTATTGTTGATGTCCATATTGTCAACCATAAGTTATTGAGATTGTTGTATAAGCTAACAAGAAAATATGAACTAAACTTGAATCTTGAGGCTCTTAAGAACTTATCACGGTATGTTGTGCAAGTCCCCCACAATACATTATAAATTTCACATATATTTTGCAAAGAACTCAGAACTAGTAATATATAATTTTAAAAGAATAGAAAATTAAAACTGTCAAAAAGGGCGACCCAACCTAGACTTGCCTAACCCTAGTCAAGTAAAAAATTTTGATGACCCAACCTAACCTATATTTTAAAACGGACCAAAATATTTAGTCTAATCTGGTCCTATGTTGGGTCAAAGGGCTAATGGACCAATTTTGGTCTAATTAAATTATATATATATATATATATATATATATATATATATAAACATATTTATATCAAATCAATTAATTAAAAAAATACTTGAATAAAATAATTAAAATTAAAATTTTATTAATAAAATTATTTTTATTAAGATAATACGATTTAATATATAAATTATAAAATAATGCATCCATTAAATCTAAAATAAGAATTAAAAAATTACATTTCATTATTATTATTAATTTTGTAGTAATTATTAATTCAAAATAGTAATTAATTTTAATAATTAGATTTTGAAATAAGTGGCTATTGGAGTTTTATTTGGATATTTACTCTTAGAATAAATGAATTTATTTTTAAATTAATTTATAATACATATATATTTTTTAATAAAATAATATTATTTTTATTTTTATTTATAAATAATTATTCTATAAAATGAATCGATCCATAAGCCTATACTTGACATAGTCTAAGTCAATGTAAGTCATGACCTAAATAAGTTAGGACAAAATAGATTGGATTAAATTTTGGTCACAAATTTTTTTGTTTAGTTTAATTTATTTATCGAGTCTTTCGAGTTAGTTCATTAAGTTAAACCTATTTTCACATCTCTATAATAATAAAAAAAAAACATGATATGAGAAGAAGAAAAATATATGAATAAGTGAAATGTGTGTTTTGGTGAAGGGAAAAACACCTATTTATGGGTTCATAAACTCTAATCACCCACTATTGAAATATGCATCGGAAATTAATATTACTTTATTTTTATTTAAAAAATAATTATTTTATGAAATGGGTTGATAAACCTACATAAAATAATTACTTCTTGGGTCGATCCAAAAAGATCAACATGATGGCTTACACTTGGCATATTTTAATGATCAATTTTTTTTTCATTTTCTAATAATTTAATAAAAGCAACATTTTTAACC